GAGGAGGAGACGTACTCCTCGAACTTTTGCTGGTCGAATTCATATTCGACCTCTTCGAGCACAAGGATCTTGATCGTCGGTTGCGGCACGACAGCTCCGGCAGCGAAGCTGTTGGCTCCCACTGTGGTCGCCAGTTTGTTTGCGGAGAAAGTTGCTATTTCCATTGTTATCAAATCTATTACAACTTTAGTCGTTACAATAAACTCGAATGAAATAAAAAGTTGATCTTTTTATAAGATCTCCTTACACAATGAAAATAAAAAAAAATTTATAACTTTATCAAACAAACGCAGAGATCGTTCATCGGTCTTCTGCTTGTGTGGGATCTTTGCTTGTGTTGGGGTTTATCCGTGAACCACCGTCGATCAGATCTGATTGCTAAAAAATTAGGCAGAGCTTCGTCGATCCGCGAGGAGATCTAGAAACTTGAAGCGCCTATCTCGGATAAAGCGAGATATTTGCTCTTCTTAGTATTACCACAACGGGATAAGACTAAGGATCGGGTAAGGGTGATGTAGATCTGACGAATCTCTCTCTCTTGCGTTGAAGAACTGGATCCGATCTCTCCTCCTCCTCTCTAAAATCCGTGCACCTTCACTCTTCAATCCGGCAGGGCTTCGCCTAATCTCCAAAATTCCAGATCTGAAAAAATGAGGCCTAAGGCTTGTATTTATAGGCATGAGGGGTTGCGGAGCGGTTAAAACGGGCTAAAGGCCCAAATCTGCCTTGGAGGGTGTCTCTCAAAATCCGGGACACCCCTGGGGTGTCTCAGAAAATCCGAGACACCCCTGGGGTGTCTCGGAAAACCCGAGACACCCCTAGGGTGTCTCGGAATTTTCGAGGCACCCCTGGGGTGTCTCGGAAAACCCGAGACACCCCTAGGGTGTCTCAGAATTTCCGAGACACCCCTGGGGTGTCTCGGAATTTCCGAGACACCCTTGGGGTGTCTCGAAAAACCCAAGACACCCCTGGGGTGTCTCGGAAAATCCGAGACACCCCTGGGGTGTCTCACATTTGGAAGTCTGACGAAGAGTTTTATCAGCTCCAATGGTTGGATTATCTATAGAATGAACGAGACACGAAGGGCGTTGTTCTTTTTGTAACATCGCGGGGCTCTCGATTAGCCCATGCCTTCGTTATCCCGAAATTCTGTCAGCTCATGTAGTTCGTCGGTTTACTTCAATCGTTCACCGACGTCCTGTGAACCAGATAGTGACGTTCATTATCGTTCCTTAACACTGAGCTGTTCGTGGAGACCTATAGGCAATTTTCGATACCTACAGATACCCCCTCCAAAGCGTTCCGGACTCGTTTCTTTTATAGAAGAGGCTGGAATACTTTGGATATGATTAGTCCAGCCTTCGGTCAGTGTAAAGGACCTGCAGTTAGCTTCAATTCTTGACTCCTTCGATTTT